GTTTCGGTCCATTGAGTCATATACGTCTTAACTCTACACTGCGACTGAACCTCGTCGGTATGACGGTCGCAGTGCGTAAGGAAGAAGAAAAAAGGAAGAAGAGATGGAAGATAGGAAGTTAGTAAGGAAAGACCATTGAAGAAGATAAAGGTTAGGCAAGAGGGAAAGTAAGAAAGACGGAAAGGGAGGAGAGAAAAGAGGGGGAGGAGGATGCTAAAGACGGAAGTAAAGAAGTAGGGAGGTGAAAAAATAAAAAATCAAAGGTAAAAATTTTTAATAGTGGAGGTAAAAAATAAAAATTTTTAAAAAAGGTTTTTTTAGAGTTTAATTTTTTTTAAAAAGTTCAAAAGGGATAGTAGCAAACCTCGATGGTGAAGGTTTTGCCATTGACGTTGTCATCTCCACTCTGTTTGTTGCGCTTAGCAGAGGCCATATCTGGAATTTGAAAACAGATATGCGAGGAACGGAAGGAAACATGAGCAAATAACATGACGTGGCAGATTAAACAGCAACGAAGAGCATTAAGTTATGCGAGAAGGCTACGTAGCAAACGGCGACAGTACGGTGCGGTGGGAGGAAAATATTTGGCGAGGTGCAATCGATTTTTGTTTATGAAGGTACGGATTAATCGTTGAAGACGATCAGGAGGGAAGCCTTTAGCGGAATAATCAAGGAAGAGACCTTGTGCCGAATGTGTGCATCCCTGAGAGGAGGACTCAATTTGTAAGTAGCGAATCAGTTGACTAGATATAGTTCTGTCGTGGATCGAGGGGTGCACGTCGTTTTGTAGGGAACAAAACCTATTAATAGGGAAAGCGAAGTGGTGACTTTTACAGTAAAGAGTGGATCTTATATAGTCTTTCTCATGTATGGAAAGGGTCATGTCTAAGTAGTTAACAGAACTACTGGAACCAGTGATTTCGATGTCCAGGTGTTGGCCGTATATCTGTGACAAAGGGAGATTAGGACCCATACAGTTAAGCATGGACAGGAGGGTTGCTGGGAATCCGGCTGATCTTGAATTCAAGCACCGAAAGGGTGAGATCGGCGATATCGGAGCTAGCGCTACCGCCTGTGGAGATACCCATGACTTGCCGAAAGATGTAGCTGCTGAAACGCACATAGGCTTCGCCGGCGACCGTGCGTATTATACTGCCGATTTCCGAAGAAGAGTAGGTTGTACCGGAGCCAAATCCTGTTGCATGTTTAACATAATGAATAGCCTTGGTGGTGATATGCAAAGTGTCGGCATGGGCGTTTTGAAAGCATAAGGAAATAATTACCCAGGCTGGAACGCACCAGGCGAGCCGGGGCGATCATGCGTTTTTGCATCAAAACTTTGAGGTA